GACATCTTATACATCTCCCGTTCACAGATAGTGCGAGAGGCTATGGGCATCATGTCCAGGATGAACGGTCAAAGGAAACCCGCTAAACGTGGACTAATCCGGTTCATACCCCGTATTTGCGCTGAAGAACTCCCGAAGATCGTAACACAGATTAGTAGGTATCTGGCGCGTCGGTGCCAAGACACCGTATCTGCGTATCTGTGTTGCAGATCCAGAGATTCAAAGTCCACCTACTAGAATTTTGAAAACCCGTGGGCTCGCGATGCTGAGGTTGACGTGTTCCTGGCAGTCGTCACCGATGCTGGATCGTTGAAGTTGAATGTGGGGTGTGGAGCAGATCTGGCGGATGCCCCGCTTCGAGATTTGGACTTCGAGATTTGAACGCCGGCCCCACTTGCTGTGCGTGATTCGGAACATCATAGGCCCGTCCAAAGGCCCTCGATTGGCTGGACAGCGGAGCCATGCCTGCGCGGGCCGCCGACTTTAGGATGCTATCTTGCCGTCTCTCGAACCCTCGCCATGGCAATTGACGGGCCATGACAACTTTTGGATGCACCGTGGCCTCGCCGTAGTCTCCAACGAGCGCGGATACCGTCCTGTTCTCATCCCAGACGACAAGACCCCGATTAGTCCCGTATTTAGCGCCGGGTCCAGGTTCGCCTGCCATGCTGCGAAGCGTCCGTGGCGTCGAAAAATAGCATCCCAAACTTCCTTTCTCGACCCTTTCTCGATCTTCAACCTTTCACCCTCTCTCCCCAGCCGCCACGCATCAGCGCGCACCTCCCACATGGGCCTTACAACCGGCATCTTTTCTCGCCACACTTTCTTTTTCTCTGTTTTTAGTTCGCCTCCAGGTCGGGGAATCCATCCGTGACCACAGCGGAGTCTCCGCTGTCGCTTCAACGGTCGCGCGCGATGGAGGAGGACAGGCGCACACCCAACTCGACAGGCACGATGAAGACCGAGGAGAGGCCAAGGCCGAATGGCATGAGGCTCAAGAGGGAGGACACCACGGGGTCGAATACACCAAACGGTTCAAAGATGAACTCGCGAGCCCCAAGCCCGTCGCCCGATGGCGCAAAGCCAGCCACCGACAGCGCATCACCGGCGGACAACGTTTCGGCACCCAAGCTTTCACGGAAGGCTTCCCAGAAGGGCGCCCGAAGCCCACCGCCTTTGTTTTCGCACCTCGCCGATGTCACGGAAGAGTCATGCGCGACCTTTCAGGTGATTAATGATTGCCTTTACGGAGCGAAGAACATGGGAAGCTCCGAGCACGATGCGCTCGACTGCGACTGTGCCGAGGAGTGGCGTACGTGAAGATTCTCTCGCCGCTGATCAATTCCCCAGAACCCAAAGGCACTGACAACCCTATGTTACAGGTGATGGCGAAAACCACGCATGCGGCGAGGACTCGGATTGTATCAACCGGGCCACCAAAATCGAGTGTGTCGATGGCGGCTGCAACTGCGGCGATGGGTGTCAGAACCAGCGCTTTCAGCGGAAGCAGTATGCCGACGTCTCAGTCATCAAGACGGAGAAGAAAGGCTTCGGGCTCAGAACCAACGCGGATTTGCAGCCAAACGACTTCATCTTCGAGTACATTGGCGAAGTCATCAATGAGCCCACGTTCCGTAACCGGATGGTCAAGTACGACAAGGAGGGCATCAAGCACTTTTATTTCATGTCACTGACGCGGAGCGAATTTGTCGATGCGACTAAGAAGGGCAATCTGGGGCGGTTCTGCAACCACTCGTGCAATCCGAATTGCTATGTCGACAAATGGGTGGTTGGGGAGAAGCTGCGCATGGGTATTTTCGCTTTGCGCGCCATCCGAGCCGGTGAGGAGTTGGTCTTCAATTACAACGTGGATCGCTACGGCGCCGACCCGCAACCCTGCTACTGCGGAGAAGCAAACTGCACAGGCTTCATCGGCGGCAAGACGCAAACCGAGCGCGCAACCAAGCTGCCGCTCGCGACAATCGAGGCCCTCGGAATCGACGATGGCGACAATTGGGACACGGCGGTTGCGAAGCGGCCCCGCAAGAAGAAGGCGACCGAGGATGACGAGGATTATGTCAACAGCATCCAGCCGCGTGCGCTGGACGAGGACGGTGTCACAAAGGTCATGGCCACCCTCATGCAGTGCAAGGAGAAGTGGATCGCCGTCAAGCTGCTTGCGCGACTGCAGGCCGTCCAGGAAGACCATCTTCGCCATAGAGTGGTGAAGATGCACGGCTACCAGATCCTCAAGAACACGCTCAACAGCTTTCGGGACGACACCAATGTTGTGCTGCAGATCCTCGACATTTTGTATCAGTTGCCGCGCATCACCAAAAACAAGATTTCGGACTCGAACATCGAGGCTGCGATCGAGCCGTTGACGTCTTCGGAGCATCGCGATGTGGCATTCGAATCGAGCCGACTGCTGGAGGAATGGAGCAAGTTGGAGACGGCCTACCGAATCCCCCGCAAGAAGTTTGACCCCTCCGCGCCGGCAGCCACCAATACGTTTGAGGAGGAGCGGCGCAACATGGATCGCGAGGCAGCATCGAAACCGGCCAAGCCATTTGCCAACGTGGTCGTCCCTACTGGCCCTCGAAGCAATGTTCCCCAGCGAAACAATACCTATTTTGCCCAGCGGCCGCGGAAACTCCCGACGAATCTCCCTGCGGGGTGGCGCGTGACGACTGACAAATTCAGTGGTCGGTATTACTTCTATAACGAGTTTGGCCAGACCACTTGGCAGCGTCCAACAGCTCCTGCAGTTGAGGAGCCGAAGGCTTCCGAGAAAGCCCAGAAAGAGCAAAAGTCGCTTCAAGACATCATCGACAGCTTGACCAAAGAGGTAACGCCCAAGACTTCGGCCAACCACACGCCCCAGCAGGCGAATACACCCCGACCGGAACCGAAAAAGGAAAAGTGGCGTTCCCTACCAATCGAAAAGCAGATGAAGATTTATGAAAACACAGTAAGCAAGGTTGCGTCTCCTGAGCCAATCATGTGCTGATGATTCGTTGTAGCTTTTTCCGCACGTCAAGTACGTGATGGATAAGTTCCACCATAAACTCCCGAAAGAGGATTTGAAAAAGTTTGGCCGCGAAGTTAACAAGAAACTTGTCGCGTCCGATTACAAGAACAACCGGGTGACTGACCCTACGTCGATTACGCCGCATCAGCAGAAGAAGGTCAAGCACTACGTCAAAGACTTCCTGGATCGTGCTCTGGTCAAGTACAGGGCGCAAGAGAAGCAGAAAGCAGAGCGTGCAGGAAAGGCTGCTCCGCCGACCCAACCGGAACAGGCCGGGCCCAGCAATGCCGATTCTTCGAGCAAGGACGACGTCGTGCTCTCGGATGTGGAAGATAGCCCCAGAAGCCCCGACTCCGACCGGAAGCGAAAACGGGAGGAGGACGCGGAATCGGGAGCAGAAACGCCATCCGAGACGCCATCGCTGAAGCGCGTCAAGGAGGATGAAGGAATCCAGTCACCCAGCCCGCCTCCGCCGCCGCCGCCACCGACGGATACGCCGCTAACCGAGGAGGAGGCATCGATGCGCGAGCAGGAGGAGGCGCTGATGCGCGAGAACGAGGAGGCTCAGCGTTTGGAAGACGAGGCCGGGCAGGCTGAATATCCTGCAGCCCAGGCAAACGGATCCGGGGGGAAGCGCAACGGGATGGTGCCTTCTCCGGAGGAGATGGATGTCGACGGGGCTGGAAATAATGGAAAGCCGCTGGACCAGAATGGACAGCAGCGGAAGGAGGTTCTGAGCATCGGCGCGAATGGGGCGTGGTAATCATGCTTATGGCTGAGCGAGCGGTTGGCTGGCAAATTCAAATTTTCATGTTTTTCGGATATGGTGTCGATTCACGGCGCCCGGTGTTCCGGTGTTTCCGGTGATTCAAGGTCATCAGGGGTTTCAGCGGGTTTTTTTTTCTTGGCAATGTACTTTTAACGGCGTCCACCGATTTGAGCATTTCACCGAGCAAGGCGGAGAGGTTTTTTCGATTGATGAATCTGGTTTTTTTGAGGGTTCAGGGCATGGAGACATGGACATGGGAGGCGGTCATGATGCATGCATGCGTTGCATACCTTGCAATGATCCCTTTTTTTCGGCCTGGGAAAAAAGGTTGGTGGGGGGGTGTAAAAAGAGGAATGGTGCTTTGTGGCTGTTTACAAACAACAGGGTACGGCAGGAAAGGGCAGGGAAGGGTGATTTGAAGGTTGGGTTTGGGGTTTTCTTCGATGTGCTGGGGGTGAAGAAAGGGATGGGGGGAGGGAGGGAGGGGGTACATAGACTCTTGGTTCGAGTACAATATACCCGTGCATGTGATGTTTTTTTCAGCGGCGATTTTGGTGGTTTAGAGTTTTTTTTTCCATGGGAGCGGTGGAAAAGGTTACTTGCCTACCTTATATACTCTGGGATTGAACCCGCCCCCCCCCCCCCTTTTCGTCGTCGGCAGATGAAGAAATCAGGTTTGGGGGGCGAGGGTAGATGAGGGATGTACATACGATACCTTACAATAACATACATTCCATTCATACATATATGTCCATCTCGAGCTGTGTGTCTGTGTGTGACATGGATAACTAGATGCCGTCTCTCTCTCTCTCTCTCTCAAACAAACAAACAAACCCCCACTCATAACCAGCCTCGACAGAAAAATATCATCTTCTCACACCGTGACCGTGTGTATGTTCTGACCTGTATCTATCATGTGGAATACCCAAAAGGTCACATCTATCTATCTCTCTGTTCTATCCCTTATATGCGCCCACCCAAAAACAAACTCTAAACACACACACGCGCGCGCGCGCAAACACAACATGAGAAAGACAGAAAAAGAAGGGGGGACCCATACACCTACCTACTTACCTACCTACCTCCCTACCTCATGACGTCCATATCCCCACACAAAAAAACCCAAAAAAAGCCATCCAGAAGACAGACCCACCATATAGAAAAAACGATAAGATCAAAGAAAATATACAAAACACAAAAGGTCGAATGGCGCAATGGTAGCGCGTTACTTTCCGGTTCACTTGCAGTCTTTAATCTCTTCGTTAAGGACAGCTATATGTTTCTACCTGGTAAAGGTTCTGGGTTCGAATCCCAGTTTGATCGGGGTTATATTTTTGTGGATGTGATATCCACATCACTTTTTTGTTCTCTGGTTTTTTTTTTGTGTGTGTGCGTGTGTGTGAGAAGATGATCTTTTCTATTGAGGCAGTAATGAGTGTTTGAAGTATGTGTGCACTGGATAGAAAAGGTTATCATACACCGGGTCTTGTTAGTTACACTGCAAAACAACACATGGTCACGGTGAATTGATACTTTGTGTGGTGGTTTAGCGCCCTTGAGGGTCCACATAGAAAGGAAAGGGCAAATATTTACATTCGTCCAGGTACACCACAAAGCATAACGTCACGATAACAACAGATAATTATCCCAAGCACACATCAAATTCCAAGAAACAATCTGTATTCATCTCTCATCAACTTCCCCATTACCGACATCCATCTACTTCTGCAAAGCCTTTACAACCTCCTCCAGCCTCTCGACCAAAATATCCGCATGCCTCTCCTGGAAAATCAACATCGGCCGCAGCCGCACAGCACTCTGTCCACTCCCGCCAATATTAACGCCAAACTTCTTCGCCGTGACCAAAAACTGATCCCGCTGCGGATTATCAAACGCAATAAACGTGCCCATGCCCTTCCCCCTCAGGTTCTCAAACTGGCCCGGATACTTCTTCGCCAGGCCCTCCAGCTTCCCATACAAATAATCACCGACCCGCGCGGTATTCTCCACCAGCCCCAGCCGCTCAATCTCCCCGATGATGGCGCGGAAGAGCAGCGCCCGCGCCGGGTCGCCCATCCACGTATTAAACTGGCGATACGGCTTATTCGGCCGCAGCTCGGGATTGCCAAAGTAGTACCCGGCCGTCTGCGCCTTCTTGCTGAACGTCACCATGTCGGGCGGGTCCTCGAGGTTCCAGTGGTCGTGCGCCCAGAAGCGGCCTGTCGCCCCGACGCCCGTCTGCACCTCGTCGACGATCAGCAGGACATTGTGCTTGCGCGTGACGGCGCGCAGGCCGCGGAAGAACTCGGGCGAGGCATGGTTGTCGCCGCCCTCGGACTGGATCGGCTCGACGATGACGGCGCACGGCGGGACGTGGTAGTTCTTGAGGAGATGCTCGACCTCGTCGAGGGCAGCTTTCTCGATGGCGCGGTTTTCTTCCACGTGCTGGTCCAGCGGGTACTTGAGCTGCGGGAACGTAGCCTGCGGCCAGTCGAAGGCCGGGATGTCGAGCTTGTGGATCGGCTTGGACCGTGTCGTGGACAGCGACCCGAACAGGCGGCCGTGGAAGCCCGTCTTGAAGCTGAGGATCGACAGGTCCGAAGCGCCGGGCGACTTGTTGTCCATGGCCGACTCCATCTCCTCGGCCGTGAACTCGACGTGGGCGCCGCCGCGCTCGTGCTGGCGGCGCCACATGAAGGCGGCCTTGTACGCCGTCTCGTTGGCGTCGGAGCCGGCCATGGCCGTGAACACCTGGTTGAGACCTTTCGGGGCGACCTTGAGGATGCCGCTCCGCAAGACCTCGGCCCAGTCCTCCGGGGGAAAATTGCCCAGGGCCGGCCGGTTGATCAGCCCGTTGATCATCTCGTCGCTGCGGGCCGCCTTGAGCAGGGCGGGGTTGTTGTAGCCGATGGGGATCGAGGCAATCTGGGCGTAGACATCTAGCAAGATATTGCCGTCGGGGTCGGCGATGTAGTTGCCCGCGCTCTTGGGGTAGTCGGTCAGCATGTTGAGGCTGCGAGTATCAAACACCTCGTTCAGCTCGCGGATGGCCGCCTGGGCCTTGGGGCCCGGTATGTCCGTCTTGACCACGGGGCCCTCGGGCTCCCAGGCGTAAAAGGGCGGCGACATGGTGCGCGACGACGCCGTGAAGTGGCGGCAGCGAGGAAGCGTCGAGCTGATGCGCACGGCTCTGCTGGTCTTCCCAATTAACGGAGAGGCAGACACAGCTCTCAATGCAGCACTGCTGCTCTGGAGCACGCGCGAGGCCATTGTGCTTTATATCGTCATCTACGAGCCCGTGCCGTGTCGTTGTCGGCCAATTGGGCTCCTTCTCTAGATCTGGATGGAGGGGTCGATGTCCTGACGGGTGCAGCACGCGCGGAGCAAAGGAAGACACCACGCCACCAGGTCGGGGGCGATGGTGGTTATCGCCGGCTTATATATGGGAACCAACCTCTTGATGAACTACCTTAGTTCCTTGTCTGAGCCGAGACGGGAGCGGGGTTGCAGTGTGAGATAACGTCAGGGGCACATCCGGGGCGCCAAGTTACGTCAAGGAATCAACGATACGGACACTCTCCAAACATGCAATTCCCGACACCATTTGCCAATTCCCGGGCCCTCCGCTGCCTGCCCCGTCCTTGCGAGATCGGGGCTTGCTGCAGCCAGTCGGCGACTGATTGTGCCCAGCCGGCCCCGCCATTGCAGACTTGTCCGGCACATGGTCCGGTCAGGCCATACCGAACCCTTCTGACCGCCTCGCATCGTGCATCATGACCTGACTAACATCACCCTGCACCGAGCCATCATGACTGTAAACAATGTATTGCTAGCCGAGCTCGGCCGGGGCCATACTCCAACTGCTACCCCTACGAAACGCCTACCATGACCGACCATCCCCCCCATCCCGGAGCCCTCAACCAAAGCCTAGCATTACGCTGACCGTAAGACCATAATCGAATCGTCCCCAAAGAATACGCTGCCTGGCACATGAAAAATAACAAAACTCATAATCATATCCATACAAAAGACAAGCGAGCCGCCTAGATATCAGGATCGCTCTTAATCCGCAGCCTGTCAGCAAAAGTTGGCGAAGCCCCAGTGTCACTCTCCTAGCTGCTGACACCGGGCTCTTCTTTCTGCTGTGGCGGCTGGAGCCCGGCACTCTGTGCGATCTTCTTCCACGTTTCCAGCTCCCGGTGCAGTCGCTCGCATTCACTCTTGAGCTTGTCGTTGGATTGGCTGAGCTCGGCAATCTGCTCCTAGCTGCTGACACCGGGCTCTTCTTTCTGCTGTGGCGGCTGAAGCCCGGCACTCTGTGCGATCTTCTTCCACGTTTCCAGCTCCCGGTACAGTCGCTCGCATTCGCTCTTGAGCTTGTCGTTGGATTGGCTGAGCTCGGCAATCGCTTGCTCCGTGAGCAGCTTCTCCAACGTCCACTTCTCAATGTTCTGCGTCTCGTTCTCCTTGAGCTGCGTGATGAAGGCCACGGCGCGCTGAAGGATTGAGCCCTTGTTCTTTTCGCACCCAGGAACAATCTTGGCGAGTTCATTGATGCCCTCGTTGATTGTCTCGCGGCGTCGGCGCTCCACTATCGCCATGTCAGGAATCCATCAAGCGTCAGACAGCCGGGCAACAAACCTTCTTTGTGGTTGTCCTTTCGCATCTTGTGCCACTCCTCAGACCCAACAGCCGGCTTAGGGTTATGTTGGCGGTAGCTCTGGTCTGCCCCCACGCCGTTGCTCCCTGACAACGAAGTTGACGTTGCCATGGGCAGCCCGTCAGCCTGGTTGTTGAACGAGCTGTCGTCGGGATGCGAGTCGGTTCCTGCCTGGGCTGCAAATGTCTCCTCGGTACTCTGGGGCACGTGGAGAGTGGGATACATGTTCAACGCTGCTGCTGCCGTACTCGAAGCGGCGGCGGCGGCGTCGGGCGCGTTATGCTGATCTGCGGTAGCCTGCTGCAATGCCGTAAAGTCATCGACGTTGACATGGTCCTGAGCAGCTTGGGCGATGCCGACGGTATCATCCAAGAAGGCTTGCGAGTCTTCGGGCACCGTCATAGCAGCCGTGGCAGCGGCGGCGGCAGTTGCAGCGGCCGCCGCCGCCGCAGCAGCAGCCCCCCGTTTTCTGCGCGAGTCCGGCGACATGGACTCGCCAGCACGTTTACGCTTGTTGCCGGGTGTGTTGGCTACTTCGGAGAAATCAGCCTGGCCGATCCCAGCAGTCGCAGCCATACCGCGATTCGGTGGTGGGGCTCTCTTGTTGCTGCGATGCCAGTTAGCAACCCGGTTAGTGAACCACCATGGTCCTCGGGAAAGCCGCCCGGACCATTGGCCGTGGACGACGACAAAGAGAGATATCTGAGTGACACAGAGGCGGTCAAGGAAAACAACGAGACTGCGAGGTGCGTCTGAATTGGGCAGGAATATAGCAAGCCTAGCTTGCTAATGAGAGGGTGCGAAACCATTGACAGGATCGGGCTGCCATCTCGATTGCCATGGGGTGGCGCTGGCCGGGGATACCGCGCCTGTCGCGCAAAGTCGCGCAAAATGCGACGAGCTGCGACTCGGCCCTCTGCTTCACGGGATGCACCGCCTGTGATTCGATTGCGCCGCCTTGTCTGAAATCCCATCTCTGCGGGCGCTGGCCATGCCTGGGCGACAAAGAAGCCGAGTCTGCTGGCGACAAAGCCGCTGCTGACTGATGGAATCCGTGGCTTGACGGCTCTCGGCGTTGCGACGACTATCGCTGGGCTCAGCTGTAATTGCGCAGCCAAAGGCAGATGCACCCGCCGTCGCTGTCGCGACACATTGAGGGCAGCGCGCCGGTCGCATCGGCGTGGCATTGTGGAATTGTGCCATTCTCTCCAGGGGCTTGAAGGCGACGGGATGGCAAGGTCGCTCTGGATGATGGATCACCTACCTCTTAATCGCTTCGGCCTGGCCTAAGTCGAGGTCATGTGAAGAACGTGCCCGAAAACGTGACGAGACTGCTCTGGCCGGTCAGCGCAGGGCCCCTGAAGCCACGAACTTGCAGAAAAGCAAAAAAGAAAGCGTGCATCGGCTTCAAGGGTCTGAGAGAGGCTACATACCTGGCGATGATCGATATGCTCTGATATGGCGTCGTTGCAGGCGATTGCGGTCGATCGAGAGGTTGATTGAGATGGAGAGATCATGTGAGCTGAGGGTCGTCTGGGGGGGAAGGGTCAGAAAACGCGGTCCGGAAAGGCGTGCACGGGCCACATCTTGCCGGCGGGCAGCAGCCAACATCCCAAAGTCCAGCCTTCCCCGACGAGCTGCGCTGATGGGCTGTGCTGTGCAT